CTTCGAGTCAGTTGAGACTTCGGTTTCCACATCAGAAAGAGCAGCATTCTGCAGGGCCCTTCTTTCGACAGCCTCGTGTATGGAGCCTCAGAAGCCAAAAGGTGACTGAGTGGAACCCATGGAGTCACATGGCTCCCGGGCTGCTGGCTTTAAAGTCCTATCATGATCAGCTGCTGCTAGACCACATCTTTGGGGATGACAATGCCCTTCCCTGAGGAGCACAGCCCTATTTCATCAGAGGAGAAACAGAGGCTCAGAGAGGCAAAGCCACTTAGGGCCAGGGATGTTCTAGAACCAAAAATCTTGCCTGTCTTGCCAACTACCCCCTAAATCCACCCAGCAGCTTCCTCTTTGCCTCTGTTTCTTGCACAGTAGCTTGCTTGTCATGCCTGCTTAAATATCCCTTGTCCCTGTCCCAGGCTCAGGCGTGGAGCTCGGTGCTTGGCAGTCTGTCAACACAAATAAGGTTCTCCCACGTCTTGCCCCTTCCCTATACAATGCCCAGCTGCACTTTAATGTGTTTTAGATGTTTATGTTGCCCTGGTCTTTGTTAATTCTTGTGCGGTGTGCTGGAATGTTTGGCATTCCAGGGGCTGCACCCTGGTGCCCAGCTTCCGCAGATATACTCAACACAGTGGCAAGGGGCGGGGCCTACCTGGGATGGGAAGCAGAGGTGAGCGAGGGCTGAGCCCTGGATGTGCGTAGGAGGGTGGCAGTTGGTGTTCTGCAGGTGTGATGTGGGGGCACCTGACCCACGGAGTTCTGTTCCCATACCCACAAGCACTGGCTACAGGCCCTGCCTGGACAGAGATGGCCAGCTCAACTAGAGCAAGGGAGCAGGGCCCCCGGCACCCAGTGGGCTGAGATCACGAGGCTGGCACGCAGCTGGCACCAGGAGGGCGCAGCTGGCGGGCAGGCAGCCCCTCAAGTGCAGAATCTGATCTTATGGCCCATTCCCCAGCTCCCCATCCTCCCAGTGAGGGCTGCGTGCTCCCCCTGTACTCAAAGATAATTTTGAGGTCTGGGGACATGGTCGCTGTGCCTGTCAGTCTCAGCTGTGGGAGCAGGACTGGGACTTGTCACCGACAACAGCTGTCCCTAGCTGTGGGCCTTGCAGCTTGCATGTCTGTGTCCCTGATGGGCTCCCATGTCCTGGACAGAAGGTCCTATGTGCTCCCGGTCTCTGCTTAAACCCTCTAGGCAGTGGGTGTGGCATTTAAATGGAGACTTCAGGGTGGCTTCTGTTTGCATTCTCACTAATGTCACCTGACATGGGGACAGTGGTGAGTCAGTGGTACAATTCTCGTCTTTCATATGGGATACCTAGGTTCAATTCCTGGCCAACGCAGCTCATGCTTAGTCACCTCCCATCTGTCAGTGGAGGCTTGCATGTTGCTATGATGCTGAACAGATTCCAGTAGAGCTTCCAGACTAAGATGGACTAAGAAGAAAGGCCTCGGGATCAACTTCTGAAAATCAGCCAATGAAAACCCTATGGATGGATCACAATGGTCTGGTCTGTAACGATCATGGGTATGGCGCAGGACCGGGCAGTGTTTCATTTCGTTGTGCATGGGGTCACCGTGAGTCAGGGGCCAACTTAGCGGCAGTTAACAACAACAACAACGTCACCTGATAGATCTCTAGCCATGAGTGTCACTTTTCAAGATGGCCTACTGGCTTGGAGGGGTGACACTGGCTCCAAGGACCCTGCATGACTCTGAGTGCTGTTCCCTCACCCACAGGGCTACATCTCAACGGCTCTGAATCATACTTGCTGGCCAGACCTCCGACACCTCAGGAACTGAAGACTCGCTCAGAGGAAGTTTCCGAGAGGGCGTAGGCCTTAGTGTGAGGAAGGCAGGATGCGGAATCCAGAACTGAAGCAGGACTCTGAGGAGGGGTGGGATGGCAGCCCTTCCCAGAACCCCGTTTCTCAGCCACACCACTCTACTCCATCTCTCCACCACCCACAGCCCGTCGTCTCCCATCCACTGTCTCTCAAATGCCAAGGGCAATGCCATGAACAATTCTGAGCCCCCAAACAAGGAGAAGAAAATTCTGAGGCAGTCATGCATGCATTGTCACTTGGATGAAATCTCACTGCTCCCACCCAGCACAGCCAGCTCTCTCCCAGGCCAGTGCTGCTGGGCAGGTGGTCCCCAGACAGGTCAGGACCTTGCTCAGCAGAAGCAGGTACCAGATGTCCCTTGGAGAGCTGATGGGGGAAGAGACCCCACCCACTTGTGTGAATGAACCAGCTCCTGGGAACCAGAACCCGCCCAGGCAGGGGGTTTGGGGGCCCTGACTGTGCCAAGCTTTCTGATGTGTCTGCCTTCCTACCAGAGAGCCAGACCTGGGAGGGCCCACCGAGCAGGAGACACAATATTGCTGTTGCTCACTCCCTGGGTCTCACCTGTATATGCAATTTCTTTGGGTTGTTTAACTCTTGCCCACCTCTTTGATTGACCTACCCCTAATTATTCTGGATGTCACCTTCCTAAGAAGTGTGCCCTGATCCACCGGCTTGAGCTAGGGTCCTTTGCCCCATGCTGTGTGGACGTCCTGGTTGTGCACTGCACAAAAGCACCCCATCAACGGGAATCATTGGCAGCCTAGACCTGTATATTTATGAAGACGTTTCTGAAAAAATGGAAGGGGTATATTTTCCTAATTTGCACAAAGGTGCCACAGGGCCTAGCAGTGGCCTGGTTCCCTGCTTGTGTTCCCATAGCACTTGGCACTTAGTCAATCTCTCCACAAGCACTCCTCATTTCTGATGCCCACTGTTTAGGCCCCCCCCCTACTAGATTATAAACCTGGGGAGAGGAGGGACTGTTTCTCCTTCATTCGCCACTGTCTGTCAAGGTCTTCACATTATGGGCACTTCAAATGGGTGCTTGGTCAATATCAATATTTGTTGACCGAATGGAATGTGGGAGGTGGAAGTCTCAAGAGTCCGCCTGATAGGAAGGCAGGAGGAAAACAAGAAGAAAAGTGGCAGAACCAGCCCTAACCTGCAGGGGGAGAAGCTGAGCAGTTCAATGCACTCCTCCCTAGTAGGTCTATTCCCTTTTTCCCTTCCTGATACTTAATAAGAATACTTAATACTTGATACTTAATAGGAATAATATAGTCATGTGTCACTTAACATCCACGATAGGTTCTGTGAAATAGGACACTATGTGATTTGGACATTGTCTGAAGACCGTATTATATACTTAGCAAACCTATATGGGATAACTTTTGTTTCACTTCCAAAGCGATACTTCTCCTTTGCCTCTTGCTGCTGCTATCACTAGCACTGGTTTTGCTGTGTTTGGGAGCCATGATGCACTTCACGTAATATTTTTGAAAGAAAATTAAACAGAGAGATAACGCTACAACATTCAAGAGACACGCAATACACGACATTGGATGCTTCTGCCTACAAGTTGAAACATACACTGTTAGATGGCAAACTTTTTATTTGTAAGTAGGGAAAGTTCACTTCAAAATAATGATAGAAAGTACAGTACATACATAAGCCAGTAACATAGGCATTTATTATGACTATCAAGACATTATGTGCTATAGGTTATATATGTACTGTACCATTATATGCCTGGCAGTGCAATTACTTTGTATACAAGAGACATGAGATATACATGGTGTGTGCAGGAAGTTGTTGCGTTCATTACATCCGGTTATGCCCACTCTATCCTGTTCTCCGGGATTTCTGAACTCTATTATAACCTTATGTGACCTCAGATGTATATGGGGTTGAATGTTGCCCGAATGGATGTTACATAGCACATGACTATAATAATAAAGATGATAACAGTAATAGCTACTGTTCATTGACTAACGAGCATGCCAAGCACATGTATCATCTCATTTATTCTCCATATCAGCCCTAGGACACGGTCACTATTATTGTCTCCATTTCACAGATGAGGAGAAAAGAAAGAGGTTAAGGGGCGGAGCTGGGACTGGTACCTGGTATGTGTTTGACGCTCAAGCCTGTTTCACAAAAAGTCTATCACACTATGAAACCACCTACACTTATTTTTAGCTTAGGAAAGATGGTCGCTGCTCCACAGCTGACTCAGCTCCTGGGACCAGCTCTCACCTGCTCACCTTTGGGTCCTGGTCCAGGATCCCCATGAAGCCATCTATAGGAAGCCTCTTTGACTCACCAAGTTGGCTGCTAACAGGTGAAAGACATACAGGCCAGGCCCCAGCCCAGGAATGCGGCCTGGAGGAGAAGGCAGGCTGAGTGGGCATAGGCCTCAGTACGAGGAAGCCCCACTAAGCACAGATCCCCCTTCCAACTGCAAGGACAAAGCCTATGAGAGCAAGACAAATGGGCATTTTGCTCACTCCTGAACCCTCAGCACTTGGCACATAGGAGGTACATGCTGAGTATTTTCTGAATAAATGAATATTAGGTTTTCCCCACCATCCAGAAGAGGGCAGGGAACTGAGTTTCCCATACACTAAAAGGACACTCTGAGACAGACACTCAGCCCTGCTTCAGAGACCACGAGGCAGGAAACAGGAGGTGAGGAGGCACAGCCTATCGTGGGGAGAGGCTGGGTGCCCCTCCAAGAAGAGAATGAGGGAAACACCAAGTCACCACATCAAGAACTCTGAGCCTCTGTTGCCTGGGCAGGGGTGTGTTGGGGGGCATTGGGGGTGCAGAGTGCCCAGCACAGGTTGGGATCCCTGCCATCTGAGTGAGAACAAATGACAAGAGGGGAGCCCCTCATAGACAGTCGGACGAGGCAGGCAGACCAGGCTGCCCCAGCAGAGGGGCTGAGCTTGCCGAACCTGTCAGGAGCCTCAACTGCCAGCCAGAAGCACCCTCGAGGCAGTTCTGGAAAGCCTGCCTGATTTACCAGCCTCTTCTACCTGCCTGGTGGGGGACTGATGGGGATGCCCCACAGCAGAGGGGTGAGTAGACCAGGCTGGGGAGAGCTTCCGCCACAACCCTCGACGTCTGGGAACCCAGCACTCACCTGGTCTGGGCGGGCATGGGAAGCATGAGGTCACCCCCCAGAAGGCTCCCACGCTGCCACAGCAATCCTCTTGGGACGTCAGCTCCAGCAGGGGGTTGGCACACTGGAAAAGAGGCCATGGACACTGGTGACCTCCTTTCCTTCCCCTGCAGTGCCAGTGATGCTCCAGGAAAGCCTGGGACACAGAGCTTATGCCCCATGTTCTGCTGGAGGAAGTCCCCACCCGAGGGAGGGGAGAAGGGAGACAGCCCATGACTCAAGGGGCAGCAGAGAAACCTGCAGCTGACTTCACCAGACCCTCAAGTCCCTGCTGACTTGGGGGTCTCACACCCCAGACAGAAGAGCCCTCCATGTCTCCAGCCCACCAAGAGAGGGTCCCAAAGACATGCTTTCCTCCGTCAAACTCCAGCGACATCCAGTGTCACCCAGAGTGTGGGTCTCACCATGAGCAGGGCCCAGGCTCAGGGACTCACAAGCTGAGAGGGCTGGGAGGCTACTCTCTTCCTTCTGCAGTTCCCTAACTTCAGGAGAGATTTTTGGTCATACTGAATGGCAACGCCAAGAAAATCTACCTTGGGCCTGGCCCCACCCCTATTCTTAGATGCCTGGGCTCAGAAAAGCTCCCCTCGTTTCCCATCACTGACGGTGGATGCCTCCAGGGTGCGGAGGGGGTGTCTCTCATCTTTGAAGCCCCAGGGCTTTGGGGTTCAACCTGGCTTTGCTGATTCCACATTTTGCAACCTCAATCTCAATTGGATACCAAATTCCTTCTCCCCACACAGCCCTACTGCCCATGTGCCAGGGGTCCTAGGCTCCGCTTCCAGAGAGCCCAGAATTTCCTGGGACCAGACTCTAGGCTGCCTTCACTTGAGGACTCTCTTGGGCCCTCTTCTGTGTGCCTGGCACTGACAAGTACTGAGTGGAGCCCAGGTAGGAGTTTCAGCCTCTTCATCCTCCGGCAATTTTATGCCTTGGGTTTTCCCATCTGGGACATGGGAGACGGCAGACACTAACATTCCGAGAGAACGAGGAGGAGAGAGGGGAGAAGGAGGAGGGCGGAGTGCAATGCTATCTCTGCCTGGAAGCCTCCAGGGCTGAGACAGGAGCTGCGTTCTCACCTGCCCGTTCACAGCACTCAGGTAACACCGGCCCAGTAGTCCCCAGGGCCTGGGTGCCGCGGGGGGCGGTGGCCGAGCGGGCTCTCCAGAGCGAGTGAGGATGCTGTTGCTGTCCCAGTGGCTGCGGCCGGGGATGGCGGGGAGCCGGAGCAAGGGCCTGGTCTCCACGCTGTTGTCCTCTGTGGCCTCCTTGGCCCCGCCCCGCACCCGCGCCACCTGATGGATCTGCACGGAGGCCTCAGGCGGATGGCGGATGTGCACCTTCACCACGGAGGGGTTCACGGCGGCTGGGCAGAGGGGCTGGGGTCAGAGTTGGGGATACAGGGCCCCACGTTCACTGTCCCTCCCTGAGAAGAGTGCCCGCCATCCCTTGACCAGGTGGGGCACTTCCTGGGTGTCTCCCTAAGACTCCTCTTGCATTTCTTCACTCCCTAAGTCAAAACCCGGGAACCATTCCCCAGTGAGGATGGTATGAAGCACAAACACCTTCACTCCTCGCCCCTCAACAAATGACCATTAATAAGCCCCAAACTACCTTCCTGATCTCTTCTCCCCTGAGGCCCTGTACAGTCCCTGAGCGCCAGCTAAGCTGACCCCTGCGTGATCCCACCCCCACACCCTTGCTAGGGCCAATCCCTCTGCCAAAGGAGCCCCACCCCACTCCCCTCTGCTTGACCGAGAACCACCGATTGTTCAAGGTCTCAGTGAAGTCCATCTACCCACGTAGACTTCCCTGAGCACTCGGGCTCAGAGGGCGCCATTCCCTGAACCCCTACAGCACTGTGTGATTTTTGTACCCTTTCTTTGTCACCTAAAAATGGAAGGCAGGGGAAATGAAATGCTTTATGTTGATTTTCTATTTTCCACCCATCCTCACTCTATTGTCTAGGACCCTGGGCTCCTGAGGGCAGGACCCTGCCCTTATCCTACTTTGCCTCCCCCACAGCACCTAGCACAGGGTAAGGGCAGAAAATATTGATGAACTTGGATGGAAGGGGAAAGAGAAGTTTAGGGCATGAAACAGTCCTGAGGGTAGAGGAGAAGGAGGGAGGTTTGGATATAAGGCCAGATTCAGCTTCCCTGTCTCCCTCCATCATGATACCAGCATCCACCCGTCCTGGGCTGGCACTCACCGAGCTGGTTGGAAAGAGGTAATGTGAAGGTGGACTGCTTCAGGGGGGCTTCCAGCAGGGTACTGTGGTGGGAGACCCCCTCTGGAGGCTTCTTGTCTGGCTTCGGGATAGGCAGGTGGCAGAACTTGCCGGTGGAGTTGGCAGGGCACCAGCACTCATCCCTGCCGATGCAGTGGCCTCCGTTCAGGCAGGGGATCTGGCAGAAATCTACAACACCAACCCTCAAGGTGACCGGTGGTGGAAGAACCTAGCAGCACCCACCATATGGCTGGCAGATGACAACAGAGAAGCAAGGGGAGCAGGATCCCAAATCTGGTGGCTTGGGAGGCCAGGCACCCCTGATATGTAGACCCAGGAGTGATGAAGGGAAGACAATAACCAGCCATTGCCTTTCTAAAAAGCCCATTCATGTCTTTCCTTGACCCCACAATAACCTGGGAGACAGGAGGCAGGTGGCATTATTATTAACTCCCCCACTTCTCTATGGAGGAAACTTGGGCTCAGAGAAGTTATGTGCCTTGCCCAGGGTCACCCAGCTAGGTCATGGCAGAACTGGGTGAGGACTCAGCTCCCCGTGTGATTTGGAACCACTTATGGGAGCAAAGTTAAGAGCAGTGGGTTTCCTTCCTACAGAGATCTGGGCTCCAGCCCAAGGCACTCACAGATGCGGAAGCCAGACTTGGGGTCATGCCCATGGCCGCCCTGGCTGTACAGGGTGGTGGTGTTGCCACGCTCACAGCTGTTGGCACAGTGCCCAAGGGCACAGGTCTGCTTGCAGATGGTGGGAGTGAAGACAATCTTGATCTTCTTAATTTTCTCCGTGAGGTTCAGCCCTGCAGAGAGAGGGCTTGGGTCCAGGGGGCAGGGCTGAGAGGCACAGCCATGACCTCCAGAACCAGGTTAAAAAGGCCCACAAGACTGGGGTGGATCCTTCCATGCAAGGTCCCATGGGGAGTATGCCTTTGAGAAGCTCACAATCCAACAATTATTGAGGGCTACCAATGCACCAGCCACTGAGTTCAGGCTTTATGCACATTAAGTTAACTCTCAATCGTCTTGAGTAGGTATCACTTTAGGTTGAACCATTAGAAATTGGCAATTTTCACATGTTCCATCTAATATTTCCATTTTACAGCAAAGAAAAATGAGGCTCACAGAAGTTAAGTGGCTTGCCCCAAGTCACATAGCTAGCAAGTGCTGCAGCTGGGTTTTAAAGTCAAGAGCAGGGAATGGAATGTAGTTCAGGCTTGCCAGAGTGGAGTTTTCTAAGAGAAGTGCAGGAAGAGAAAGCCAGAAAGGATTATTGGAGTCAAGTTTTGGGGGGCCTGATTGCCAGAATGAGGATCAGACGCCTTATTTGATGGATAGTGGGAAAGTCGTTGAAAATTTTTCGGCAAGAGATCAAAGAAGAAGTGCAGGAGGATGAATTCCCATCCCAGCTGTGGTGTGTTAGGGTGGATCAGGAGGCAGGGTGACCAGTTGGGAGGTCATTACAGCAGTGCAAACTGAGGTCACTTCGTTTAATGAGGGTGGCGGCGGTGGGAATACAAAGGAGGGGCATTAATTCAGTATAAGGAGCCCAGGAAGGTAAGCCAGAAGGCAGAGCATTGAGGAGAGAATGGGAGGTGAGGAAGAGGAAAAAGTACATGTGATCCCTCATGCAAGAAGCTTGACTGTGAAGGCAAGAGAGATAGAAGAAGCCAGAGAGAAGTAGGAAGTGTGTGTGTGTGTGTGTGTGTGTGTGTGTGTTTCAATGGGAGAACTATAAGCAGGTGCATATGCTGAAGGGAAGGGGATAATAGAGAGGGACAGGTTGAAGATACAAAAGGGAGAAGACAAATAATGGCCTAGAGTTCCAGAGGAAACAAGAAGCGGTGTAGGAATGTGCCTTAGTCAGGGAAAAGGATGCATCCCTTTCAAAATTGCAAGAAAGGAGGTCAGCTTGAGCACAGGTTTCAGTAAGAGTGTGGTGTGGATGGGTGGGGGAGATGGGAAGGAAGTTGGGGAGCTCTCTGGGAGGTGGGAGGCATGCCTATGTGCTGATACGAAGGGGAAGGCAGTGGGAAGGAGACTCAGGAACATGGGGAAGGCTTGAGTAGCTGTTCTGAGGAATGGGAGAGAGAGTGTGTCCAAGTACATGGGGAATGGTTGTTGGGCAGTAACAGAGGTACAGATGCAGCTAGGGGACCAAGAATCTGCTGTGGCCTGGATCCATATATATATACTTCGTTTTCTCCTATACGAAGTGGAGGCCCAGGTGTAAGAAAGCAACTGGGTAGGTTGATCCGGGAGGGTTGGGATTTTCAGGAAGGATGAGATGGAAGGACCAGGCTCAGGGAGTTGAAGTTCATGGTTGGATATGAAGGAAGCAAAGGCAGGAGGGATGACAGCTTGGGTGGAAATGGGGCAGTCAAGGCTGAACAGTCTCAACAGGGGCAAAGTCCAGATCAGCTTAGTTTTTTACCCGTAGAACCTGGCACAAAGCAAGTGCCCAACAACTGTTTGTTGATTGGCTGAAAGAATGAGGAAGAAGGTGAGAGTGGAGGGGGACCCCAAGACAGGGCGTCCTTACCCCAGGAGGATGAGAGGTGGCCCGGATATGCTGCCTGCTGGGCGCCATGCCTCTGTTCAAGGACTGGTCCCGCGGGCAGGGCATTGGAAGTCAGCTGACCACTGGCAGCAGCAGCCGGGTAACGTCGGACAGTCCGGGACAGCCCCACCTGCTGCTGGGAGGGTCGGGTCTGGCTGAGCCTACTCAGGGTCCTGTGGAGGCAACCGCATCACAGGGGTTTGCATCTGAGGAGCAGCCTCTCTGTCCCCCTTCATCAGCCCGCCTACCTCCCTGTCTTTGCACCAGAAGAGTGCTCTCTGCTTGGCCAGTGACTCCTGGACACGAGGTGCCCTAATGCGGGAGACTGATCCAAAGGCCAGCTACCTAGCTCAGTAGACGTGCTGACCCCTCTGTGGACTAGCTAGGCTTTTGCTGGCTTATTCTGGGCAAGTCACTTAGCCTCGCTGGCCCTCAGGCTCCTCAACTGTAAAATGAAGGTGTTAGACTGTTCCCATCTAGCTCTGACATTATAAGACTCTTTGAGAGCCCACTTACGGACCAGCCCCTGCCCTAAAACTGAGTCCTCTGCCTCCTTCAATGAGATTATAAATTTCCCCTGCCACTTCTTACTGCAACCTTTAATACAGTTACCTGTGGAGTTGATCCCCAACAAACACATGCGCGGATTGATTTGGAGTGGAGCCTAGACTCTCCCTCTTATTTAATTTGATTGTAAAAATAATACAACACCAATATCCAAGGAGAAAAAAACTTATTTATCATCCCCCTCACCCCAATACAGCACATAATTTTGCATATTTCCTTTCAACCTTTGCTTACATACGTTTTTACACAATTGTCATTATTTAACACATACATCTTAAATTCTGGTTTTTCACTTAACATTAGCTCATAATTTATACAATTCCACATTTTCATATTTATTATTTTAATTGCTACCTGACAGTCTAGGACGAATCACAACTTTTTCAGACACTCTCCTGCTACATATTTAGATTATTTTCAGTGTTCATCTATGGTCATCCTTGTCCATACAGCTTTTGTCTTCTGTTAAAATATTGCTTTATATTTATTATACTATTCTGTTTCTTCATTACATTATTCATTAGGCTATTAAGTCATTACACTAGTCTATGTTTGAAAATTTTTATAATAAAATTTTTGAAAAGGATTAGAACTTTACGGTTAATTTCTTGGAATAGAATGACTGTGTCAAAGATTATAAACACTTATGGATCTAGGTGTTGTTATTGTTGGCTGCCGTCAAGTTGACCCCTGACACATGGCGACCCCATGCATGATGGAATGAAATGCTGCCTGGTCCTGTGCCATCCCCATGATTGGTTGCAGACTGGTCTATTGCTTTCTAAAAGGGTTGTACCCAAATGTATAAACATACCACTTAAAGCACAACCTTTGCCAGCATGGAGTAATATCAATTCTTTTATACTTTGGTAATTAAATAATTATGAAATAGTACTTCATGTTGCTTTCATGTCTCTTCCTTTGAATACTTCTGAGTTTGAACATCTTTTCACATGTGTGTTTACCACTTATGAAAACTTTCTGCTCTTCTCCTTTGCCCTCTTAACTATTTGAGTTGTTTGTCTCATAAATTTGAACATGTTCTGAATTGTTTATCATTAGGCCAGACATTGGATAAGACAGCCTCTATTGGAAATAATTTGTCAATGTCATAATGTATATAGACCACAGTAGGCAGTATCTGGAACTGTGGTAGATGTGAGTATGCTGTGGAAATTGAAGCTGAAGGAAGTTAAGTACTTGCCCAGGGTTATACAATAGGTAAACAGTGGTATCGGGATTCCAACTCAGGGCAGTTTGACTCCAAAGCCTGTGCTCTGTATCACTCAACAAAACAGGCCAGACCATGGTGGCAGCTCAGCCCTGGAGACCTCTGCTCAAGCCTGGGGTACTCCTTTCCTGAGTAGGTCCCATCTCTGGCTTCGCTATTGGATGACTTGCCCAAGTGAGAAAAGGTCTCCCTCCTACACCCCAGTGCTGTTGGCCCTGGGTGCCCAGGCCATGGGAAAGCTCCTTCTTATCCTTTCCTGGCAGAAGCCAAACCCCGAAGGATGGCAGAGCCTGGCCATTCCATCCATCTTAACTTACCCTGGCACTCTCCAGCCCTTCCCCAGTCCTCTTGACCCATGCTTGGTCCCAGCGAGTTTCAATACTGCTCTTCCTTCCAATTCTACCAGCAGAAAATCGTCACCCATTCAGGCCCCAACCATAACTCACTCTGCTTTCCAAGTTTGGGGACTAGGGTGGGAGAGAGGTCCTGTTAGCAACTCCAGAACCTCTAGGAGCTGTAATGGGCCAGAGTTGGGAGCCCAAACCTCAGGCACCTGCTCCCCGTTACCCAGGAGAAGGTCAGCACAACCAGAAAATGAAATCCTTCCAGTGACACCCAAGAGAATGCCCAGGACAGGTGGGCGGGCAGGTGGGCGGGCAGGTGGGTGGGCAGGAGTCTTCTCCTGGTGGTACCAGGCTGTTGCCATGACTTAGGTTAGTATCAGCACACAAAACACCCTAGAGAGAAGGGAGTAGCCCCATGTTCTGCCTAGCACCACCTAGTTTTTTTTTTTTTAACTTGACCCTGTCAAAGAGCTCTTTCATCTGGCCAAGATGAAAACAAAGGGTTCTTTCTTTGTGATTTGCTGTCATTGTTGTTGTTGCTGCCATTTGTTTCTCTTATTGGAACTCAGTGTATAATGGCACCAAGATTCCTGAGTTCAAATCCCTTAAGGGCCAGTGGTTAGCTTTGCAGAGAGACGGAAAAAAAGAAAAGAAAGAAAGAAAGAAAAAGCCCTTGCATTCCCTAGTTGTATATAGAACCTGGCTGTACAGAGCAGAGAAGACAGACAGATGTCAGTGCTGCCTCTTACAAGCCGTGTGCTCCTCTGAGCTCAGATTCCTTATCAGTAAAACAGGAATAACAATATCGACCTCGCTGGGCTGCTACAAGGACAAAGGAAAACAGTGAGACCATGTAAAAGGAAGCATGAACACCCAAATCCTGTCAGTGTAAAAGAGATTATTTTGCAAATACAAGTAAATGGTCACAAGTTGAAGAATGTGCCAGAATTCAAAAATCACAGGAAAAAAGGGGGGAAAAAAAAAGTACAGACAAAATACCTCTCTCCAAGCCAAAAAAGAAAATGTAGCCGAGTCACTAAAAATTTTTCCTCATCTAAGGAGAGAATAAAAGATTCCAAAATATATTTGTTACTGCTGTAACAGATTTCTGGGTTAAATGACAGGAATAAAAAAGCCCTGCCTCCTGGGAGGCTCATAGCAGAGTAAAGGAGAAAGCCCCCGACTCTCTGAGAAATCTGCAAAGCTAACAGAAATCACCCCTATAAGGAGATTGTTGTCTCCATTCATAAACCCCAGCCCAATCCTTGGAGGTGGGCAGGGAAGGAGGCTGTCCATGTGTGAAGGACTGTAGGCTGGGTTCTCAGCTCAACTCTGTCAACTCTGGCCCCCGGTGGTCTCCAGCTGGCTACTGCTACTGTGGAGTTTGTAAATCCAATCGCCTGGACTTGTGTTATCTTTACACTCATTTTCTCTTGAGCAAATCACAAGCCTTTAGACAAGTCCCACTTGTGTGTCCCATCCTAGTCTCAGCTAGATTATGGGGAGTCAAGAGAAGGGTCTGTAGAGGGTGACAATAGAGGTAAGCAAGAGTCTCCACAAGAAGGTGACTTTCTTGGACAACAGTCTCCATGGGGAGGCTCTGTCCACTAGCAGCCTTGTAGAAGCTACTGCAATATTATAAAAGGAGAGCAGTTTCTAAACTAGACCAGCACAAGAATGAAACTTACTATCTCTCTGGGATTGTTCCAGAACAGTCCTGGCAAAGCTGCCATGATGGACCATTTATCTGTTTCCTAGGGCTGTTGTAACAAAATACCACAAATTGGGTGACTTATAAGAACAGAAATTTATTATGTCACAGTTCTGGAGGCTAGTAGTTTGGATTTAGGTTATCAGTAGGGCCATGCTCTCTCCAAAGACTCTAGGGGAAGATTCTTGTCTCTCCTGGCTTATGGTAGCCCCAGGTGTTCCTTGGCTTGCAGATGCACCTTGACTTGGCCATCATCCCTGTCTGTCTGTCTCTTCTTTTATAAGGACACCACTATAATCGGACCAGGACCCACCCTACTCCAGTATGACTTCATGTTAATTTATAACTGATACTATCTTCAAAGATCCTATTTCCAGACAAGGTCACATTCACAGCTAACAGGAGTTAGGACTTCAATATATCTTTCGGGGGGACACAATTCAATCCATAATAGACCAGAACAGATGGCTCTAGACTTCGGGATGTGACAGACCAGTAAAATTTTGAAACAAATTCTGGGAACCAACGTAAAGTCGCCAACTTTATTTAGGTAGGTAAGTCATTAAAACATACACATACAACTACCAATTATTATCACCATGATTCCATGAAAGAAAAGATAGTTCAATGCCAAAAAGAAAGAAACATTTGAATAAGCTTAGCTTTAGGGACATCTCACCACATTGACTTTATTGTCCTCATTTCTTCATGGACTAAGGAAAACTCCACAACAGACCAGCAACAAACCAAGGCCTGGGACTTGGGAGCCACTGGGACACAGGACCCATCAAGGTCTCCTCCTGCTTGAGGAAATAGGGGGCTCTTTCAACAAATTTGGGGAGAAAAAGTTACCATTCCAGCTGGCTGGGGTCTTCAGACCCAAGTGGAAACTGCCTGGACAGTGTGTACCATAATGATACCACTCAGTTCAAGCCGCATGGTGCAGCCACAACCTGCTCGACACGCTAAGGTTTTCAAACAATCATACAGAGATAAGTGGATGACAGGCCGTCCACCCTCTCCGCCTCCTCCTAGCCGGCACCACACTATCTAATGGATAAATTGGGCTTCCAAATGATAGCTTGTTTGAAAAGGGTTGTGCTGCTAACATGTCATTTACTTGTCCAAAGTTTAAAAACATCACTACAAGGTGCAGAGAGTATTTAGAGCTACCATTTATGAAGCACCTACTATGTATTAGGCCCTGAGCCAGGTGATTTGAATATGCCATCCTATTCATGTTGTTTCGCTGAGTGAAAAAACTAAGTTGCAGAAAAATATGGATAGTCATGGCTCCAATTTTGTGTTTTAAGAAAAAAG